CATTATTTTCACCTTTTATTATCTCATTTTGAATTATTCATTTTTATCTTCTTTCATTTTATAATCTCAACATTCTACTTTTATTCTTTTCATCATCTTCTACTTCCTAATTTCACTTTTTTCTTTTATACCATTATTTCTCTTCATTTTTCTCTTATTTGCTTTTTTTCGTTGCCTTTATTTTATTCTTTTTTATTTATTTTTTATTTTATTTATATTATTTTATATTTATTTATTTTATTCTTCTTCTTTTATCTTTATATCTATTATATATTTCTTATTTTATTATTTATGTTATATTCTTATATCTTTTTATTCTTATTTTATATTTATTCATTATTATTCATTTCATATTAACAATGATAAATAACAATACAACATATAATAAATAAATGATATAAGATAAACAACAATAAATAATAATAATAAAATATAAACAAACAATATAAACAAATATAAAATGATAAAAAGATCATCTAATATAAAATAATAACAACAAAGAATAAAAATAAGAAATAAATGATGTTTAGAAAAGAAAAAATGAGAAAAAGAAGAAATAAAAGTGATATTCAAAGATAAAAATCAATATAAAATATAAAATCAAATATAATAAATAATAAGAATAAAAATGATTATATCTTATTTTATTATTATATTCTTCTTTATGATTTGAATGTGGTATTTCAGATACACAACACAAATTACTAATATTTCCATGTTTCAAATCACCTAGTTATCTTCTGGTTATGATGTGCCTTTGATGAGATAACATACCACATAACACTAATTAGTTATTTTTATTATGACTGATTATTATGGAGGTATTATCAATAATGATTATTATTTATTATTATTTATTAATGATTATTATTTATTATGATATAAGATTATTATTTATTATGATGGTATTATTATTTATTATGATACAATATATTTATCATTGATATTTTTGAATTAAATACATGATGTGTTATCAAGAAAGATTATTTAAATAATGTTGATGATAAATGAGATAAACTATAATTATAATGTTATTGATATTTCAAACATAAAATAATAATATAAATAATGATGAAATTTAATATTCATTTAATTCAAAATAAAAATCAGATAACAAATTAAATGATGAAATATTTAAATTGATAATGATTGAAAAAAACAATAAATGAATAGAAATAAAAATGAAGAACAAAGTGAAATAATCACTTCTCAACATGATGAAAACATAATCATAAATAATTCATATTTAATCTCTTTCTTCTTTTGTTTTTTCTTGATTTCATATTTAATATTCTTGTAGTTTTACTTTTGTTATTCTTTCTTTCCGTTATTATCTTTATTCTTTTCTTCGTTCTTTTAATTATCTTTTTTTGTTTTTAATTTCTTCTTTAGCTTTTTCAAATGATTGAAATGAACTCTATTGTAGAAGTAGAGTATATTGAAATCACTGAAATAATCACTTCTTAATATGATGAAAATCAACTTGTTTGTTATTCTTTTGTTTTCTCTTTAACTTTATTTTATTCGGTATTACGGGAACCAAAATAAATGAAGAAATTATGAATCTAAATAAATTGCTCAATTGAAAATGGTGTAATATATTTTTTGATTATTAGATTATTCTGTTTTCTATTGTTTTCTCTTAAAATTATAAAAATATAAAATAAAATAAAATGTAGGTAAAATAATAATCTATAACAATCAGTCGACATTTTGTAACTTCTTGTTGTATTGAGTATGATGTATATTGATTTGTTGAGTATATTCATTCATAAATATGTTCATTTTATTTTATTCTTTATTTCTTTTCATTTACCTTCAATTCTATTTTAATGTGAAAATATCATTATGAAATGTAATAAAGAAGAACATTATGTTAATTCATATTTATAATGTTAGTTATGAATAATAATGAATATATAAATATGAATATCCATCGTATTGTTATTAATGTGTAAATATGTTATATTTCATTTATCATACTGATGAGATGTCATAATGATATGTTAATAGATGTTATTATTTATTTATTTAAATGATATATTTATTGATATAAACATTAAATTATATCATAGATGATTATCAATGATGAATGATGATAATATACAATGTAAATTATTTATATTATCATATCAAACAAGAGATAAATGATGAAACAAATAAAAAGATAATAAATAACAATGTCAATGAAATGATGATATGATAATAACAAATTGAATAATTTAAACATCAACACAATAATACAGAATGAAGAATGACTATTTAATATGTATTATAAATTAAACAATTATAAATAATAATAATGAATTTAATGTTCATCTTCAACTTTCATTCATGATAATAATTCATCAATTTTATCATTAATCATTATATTTACTTTCTTATTATTTTCTTTATTCTTTCTTTTATCATTTTCTTTTTATATTTATTTTATTTCAATTTCATCAACAGATATATTCATTTAATACAGAAAACGAAGTAGAAAGATAGAACTAATAATGTACAAATATGTTCTTCTCATATTTAATCACAAATATTTTCATCTAATAATATTTTCTACTATTTTTTACCTTTTAAACATTTAACAAGAATTAATTTGAATTATGATAATTCATTTCAATGATCTATCAAACATAAACACCAAGTTTTAAACAAACAATGAATACATTCATTACATTTATACAACAATTAAGAAATAATAAACAACATCACAAATCAATATAATAATATAATGATGAATACGAATGAAATGCATAATTTCGTGACCATAATATTATTATTCACATTATTTAATTTATTTAAATAAAGAATAGAATAATAATGAAATAATACAAATAAATATAATGAATATAATTTATTTATATCATTTCTTATTTTATAATGATTTTATTTTATTCATTTCTTATTTATTTTGTTTATTGTTTTGATTTATTTTATTATTAACACTTTATTATTTGAATTTATTATTTATTATAATTATTGATGAAATATTAATATTTCATATTAATAATAATATAAATGTTATATTATTATTTATTTATGAATGAAATGATATATTTTATATGATTAATATATTATAATGAATTATTTATTTTTGAATGAATACAATTAAGATGATATTCTGATATTTAAAATAAAATTAAATATAATAAATACTTTGATATTCAATTTATTTATCATCATATTTTCAATATTCAAATTATATTTATATTTAAACATTATTTATTTCTTTTGTTTAATATATAATTAATTTTAAATCATAATAAACATTAGTTGTTATAATTTATATTTAATATATTCATATTAATTATTTGTTATAGAATTTAATTTATATTTTTATTATGATTATTTTATAATTATTGATATTATTTTGTATTCATATGTTGATTTTCATATATTTTCATAGTTTATGAATGATTATAATTTCTATTTATTCATAATATATTAAATAAAACAATGTATATCTTTATTATCACATATTATTTATTATTGATGTTATTTTTATTTGATTTTCATCATTCTAAAATATAATTATTAATATCAATGAATATGATTGATTATGACAATCTAATATCAATATAAAATAATATAAATTGTTAATTTACATTATATTAATAAATGAAATATAATATAATATAAAATTAAATATAAATTAATTATTAATTGTTATTTCATTTATTTTATTATACAGTATTAATATTATTTCATCAAATATTTAACTAATAAATGTATTCATGAACAATTTAATAATGTATTTATGATATTCATCATAAAATATCAATAATTTAATAAAATAATAAATTATATTTATTTCATTTTTAATTTAATTTTATATTAAATTAATTCAATCATATTCTTTTATTTATTCATTTTCTTTATCTTTGTTTATATTTTTTGTTTATTTCATTACATTCTTTATTTTACTTCTTTATTCATTTGAATTTTATTCTTCCTTTTATCCATGTTTATTTTATTTCTTATTATCAATTTCTTTGTTTTTTATTTAAATTAACCATAATGAAATTTAAATCATTTGATTTTTGTATTTTATTTCAAATAACTAAATACTGAATTAGTGTTATCATTTTCTCAATTACATCACTACACAGTCTGATGGTTCTTTATTATATTTTTTTTCTGTTCTTATTTCACTGCTGATTTCATTAATTTCACCATAAATAATTTCTCCATTATACTTTACTTTCTTAGGTCTTCTATATTTTGTTATTTTATATGTTATAGTATCTTTTGTTTTTTCTATTATTTCATCTTCTTCTTTTTCTTCATATCCAATTTCTTTAAATTCACCTATTAATTTATTGATTTCTTCTTTATCAATTGATGGTAATCCTCTTGCCCATTTGATTAACTTTTCTATTTCTTTTTCTGACCTGATGTTATCATCATCTTCATCTGGTTGTGAATCTACAAAAAACATTGGAATATCAATATTTTCATTTATTCCATGTGTTTGTTTCATAAATTCAATCATTTCTTCTTTGAATTTCTCTTTCTCAATTTTATATTTTTCAATTATCTTTTGTGGTAGGTAATTATAACATCTAGTCCATACAATACATACACGTTTCCAAATGTCTTTTAAATTGAAAACATCAGATATAACTTTAACAACTTGTTTAAGATTATGAGACAATCTAAAATTGTTAAAATCCATTGTTAATACAATTCCTTGTAATCCTGTGTTTTTAACACAATCAATAATATTTTGAATATTTTTATTATCAAAATTCTTAGAATCATTAAGACCAGGAGTATCAACAACAAATACATCACTTCTATCAACTTCTCCAAAATATCCAACAGCCTCTTTTGTAACTGAATTTGGACTATTACTTACACTAAAAACATCCTTTTTAAGAATAAAATTACCTAATGAACTTTTACCATCACCTGTTTCTCCAATTAAAAGTAATTTAATTTGTTTCAATCCTTCTATACTCATTATTAATGTTTAAACGTTTTGTTTAATTGAATTTCTAATTCTCAGTTGTTTTTGATAAAAGTTAAATGATGTTTAAAGAAAGTGTTTTGAGATATAAATACATGAAGAATTGATGAATTAATAATGAATGAACAAAAAAATAAAATAAAAAGAACTTAGAAAACAATTCTATTATTATATTTTTATTTTTATTTTATTTTATTTTTATAATTAGAATATTCTCTTTTTTATTTATTTTGTTATTCATTATATTTTGTTATTTAATATTTTGAATAATAATCAAAGATTTAATATTTCAATAAATATAATCAATGATGATTATCACTATTTAAATAATTATCATTTTATACACATTATCAATATTAGTAATATCATTCTCATTTATATATATTATTTATACTAATTATTATTATTATTTATTTTATTATTTATTTGATTGATTATTTGATTGTATTGATTTTATTATTCATTAATTTGATATGTTATTTTATTTATTCTTTTATTTTCATATTGGATATCTTATTTAAATTATATTCATTTGTATTTATTTGTTATTATTGTGTTTATTCATTTCTTGTTATATCTTCTTTTGTTTTATTTCTTTATTTATCATTTCTTTTGTTTATATTATTTATTATTCTCATTGTGTTATTATTATATATCATTTATTATTTATTTTAAAACTACATTTATTTATTGTTGTTTTTGATTATATATTCTCTTTATTTTAATTATTATTTTCAACTTCATTCTTTTATTACTTATTGTGTTTTCTTGTTTTTATCTTCTTTATTATTTTATTATTTCTTTATCATTTTATTCTATTTGATTAACTTCATTTCTTCATTATTTGTATCTTGATTTATTATTTATTGTTTTGTGTTGTTTTGTATCATTTATTTGATTTAATTAAGTAGGTAATGAAATAAATATCCTAATATCTATTTGATGTGTATTATGAGTATTATAAAATAATGAATGTTACATAAAATAATTGAATCATTAGATTAATATCTATATTAAGAAGGAAGTTAATAAAAGTAATTATTATATTCTATAAAATTGTAATTAAGTTATTATCTCATTATATTTATATGATATAATATATAACATCAAATCATTTAATAATTTCATTGATTTGAATAATGTTCATTTTCATTATAATCAAAATCTAATAATGAATGAAATGATAATATTAACATTATTTAATAATAAATGATTTAACATAATATTAATTCATATTTTATCAAATACAATAAACACTGAAAACATTGATATCAATATAATCAATTTGTATTTTGATTTAATCTCTCTTTCAATTCTCTTTATTTAATTTGAATAATTAATATTTCTTTTTAAATAACATTTTAAATAACAAAGTATTTAATAACAATATTATTTTTACAAAAACAAAAAATAAAGAATAATTTGATTATAGGAATTTATTAAATTTATTATAGTTTCTTCCAATTTTATATTTGTTTTACTTAAATTTTATTCACAATGAATTCAATATTGTTATTTAAAATAATAAAAATGAAATGACGTTTATTAAAAAATAAAAAATAATGTGTTATAAACGTGTATTTAAGTATTTAATCATCTGATTTTGATCTGATATTCATTAAATTAAATAAAATAGATGAGTTAATAAACAAGAACACTCGTTTCTTTAAAGAAGAAATAGAAACACTTCCAAATATTCAACAGTCAATTGATGATATTAATAAACATTATCAATATTATTTAGGATGTATTAAAAATGAAATATTTGAAATAAAAGCAGATGAAACATATTCAGAAGCTATTAAAAGAGGAGAAGGAATATTTGATAGGATTGATGAAACAGAAAGAAGAAGAAAACTAATAATAGAAAAAAGTCAAGAAACAATTAAAAGAATAGAAATAATAAAGAATCAAATGAAGAAAATAATAGAAGAATGTAATTCAGATTCTGAAATACTAAGTAAAACACGGAATGAAATAATCAATAAAATCATTTCAATTGAAGAAATGATAATGAAAGATAAAATATTCAGAACACCAAAAGAAAAATATAAAATCACACAATCATTTAATAAAAAGAAAGAAGAATGGAACACATGTTATAGTGATTATTTTGAGATGAAGAAGAGAAAAGAAGAAGAAAGAAAGAAACAAAAGGAGAAAGATTAAAAATAATGAAAGGAATGAATACAATTGAAGAAATGAAACAAATAGAAGAATGGACAAATAGAAAAGTATCAAATATACTATTTGATTCAGATATTGATGATTGGAATATTGATACATCAGTATTTGATCAAAGAATAATAAATAAAGAACATATAATAATTATTATTGAAGATACAAATGGAAATAAATTTGGAGGATATGTTAATGTGAAAATTGATAAAGTTAATGATTATATAAATGATCCCAAATCATTTTTATTTTCATTAAAATCAAATGGAAGAATACAAGGAATGATGAAATTTGATATTAAAGATCAACAATACGCATTTTATTTAAATAACAATCAGATAATTGTTTGTTTGAATTTGGATATGTTGATATTATTGTTTATAAAGAAAATAATAAAACACAGTCATATTGTGATCAATGTGTATTTGAATATAAAGGAATATCAAAAGCACTTTGTGGAAAAGAAGAAGACTTCACACCACAACGAATTATTGTAATTGAAATGAAATGATTTTTATTCATTATTGTTTATTTGAAATAAGAATAAAAAACTGATTTAAATTAAACAACAACTAATCAAACAATAGTTAAAATGAAAAAAGAAAAGGTTTGAGAAGAATAAACAGAGATTGAGAGTGTTAATTATTGTAAAGAAGAAATATGCGAAGGATTGAGTTAAATCAGAAACCATTCATAATTACCATCAAATAAGTCATGATTAATAAAAGAACTACTAAACACTCTGATCAAAACCATTAATAATCAAACTAACATGTTTAAATAACACTTTAAAAAGAAAGGAATTGGAGATAGAATGTGTAGATGTAAATAAGTTGTAAGAAAGAGAAAACAATGAAAAATAAAATATATAACGTTTGAAATTCAGAGTAAATAACCAAGATAATAAGAAGAGTCAATAAAAAAGAATTTGATTGTGACATTTAAATAAGCTTGATAATGATAGATGAACACTCAAGATAATAAGTAAACCACTCAAGCATAATTAGATTTAATGTCACAAGAATGTGTAAAGAAAATATGTGTATTGATAAAAGGAATTGAATAATACACAATAAGTGGGTAAATAAGGAAATAGTAAGCACAGTAAATGAAAGAATTAAAATGAGAAGTGATGAATAATGATTTAGAACGATAAATAAGAAAGAATGTATTAAATAGAGAGATTAATACGAAGAGAGTGTATGAAATAGGAATGATAGAAGGATTGAATATCAATAATAGAAGAATTGAATAAAATGATAAATAAACTGAGATTAACGTTAGTAAACATAGTGCAACATTTATATATTGGTATTTGTTTGTTAATTGTATGTTATTTATATTCTAATTAACCATTTTTAAATTAATTCAGAAAGACTCTTTCTCAATTCAAAGAATTCATCAAATTGTATTGATGTTGTTGAACAATGTTCTTAATGTTGTAAAGAAAAGTAAACGAGATATAACTATTCAAGAAAATACAAGAGAATGAACGTCAATAGAAATAGAATATATAAAAATAGTGAACGAAATAACAACGAAAATAGAGAATAAGAAGAAAGAAATAAAAAGGCAATAATCAAACCAACAAAATGAATACAAGTTGTAAAGCTATAAGAACAATAAGTATGAAAGAAATAAAAAAGTACAAGAAAAAGAAGACATTAATAAACAATACAATTTATCAACAAACTAGAATAAGATATTAAAACCAAGAAAGAAATACGAAATAAAGTAAAGAAGAGGATATATGATAAAATAATTCAGTATAATTTCAAGAACAACAGTAAATTGAATAATTAATAACGAACAGGAAAGAATTCTAAAAGAGCATTGAGTCATAAAGTTCTTGGTGAATAAATATCAGAGATATAATGACTATAAACATAAAATATTCAGTGAAATATTGACGAAACAATGTAAAAAAGATATGGAAATACCTCATAAACAAGATTTCATGAGAATAAAGGGTGAGATGTAATTTCACTTGAAGATATATCCAAATTTAATTTATTCATTTTTAATTATCAAATCAACCAATTCATTGTTTTTTTATTATTTCTTCTTTCTTTACTTTTTCAATTACCACTTCATTTGTTTCTTCTGTTCTATTTCAAAAAATTATCGTTTTGTAAATTGAATTAACCAGTTCACTTAAACTATAACACATCCATCATAATACAACTTTTTAAGCACTTTATTCCTCTTTAACTCTTCTGGACATCCCAAAAAACATCTTTCCTCAATGTTTGTGACTGATGTTGGTACGTCAATTTGTGTTAATGATGAACAATTTTTAAAGCACTCTTTTACTAATTCATGAACAGACGTTGGTATGTTAATACTTTTTAATGACGTACATCCTTCAAAGCACCATTCTCCTATTTGACTAATTGATGATGGCAATGTGATTGTCCTTAATGACAAACAATTTTTAAAACAGCCAGGTCCTAGTTTGCTGACTGAAGTAGGTATAGTAATTGATGTCAACGACGAACACTCTTCAAAGCACCAATCTCCTATTTGACTTACTGATGATGGAATATTGATTGATCTTAATGATAAACAATTTTTAAAACAACCTGTTTCTATTTCATTAATTGTTGATGGTATATTAATACTTGTTAATGATAAACAGTCTTCAAAACACCATTCTTTTAATTTACTGATTGATGTTGAAAGAGTGATTGAACTTAATGACAAACAACTTTTAAAACAACCACATCCTATTACATTAACTGTGGTTGGAATATCAATTCTTGTTAATGACGTACATCCTTTAAAATACCAATTTCCTAATCCATTAATTGATGTAGGGATGCTCACTGATTTTAATGATTTATATTTTTGATAATGTTCTTCTATTTTCTTGACTCTTGTTGTTATTGTGATTGCTGTTAATGACATACATCCATTAAACCAACACCAACTTTCTGTTTGATTTACTGATGTAGATATGTTAATTGATGTTAATGAAGTACAACCACTAAAACAAGTAGTTTCTAATTCACTAATTGTTGATGGTATGTCAATTGATGATAATGATGAACAATTTCGAAAACTAGTTTCTTCTATTTTATTAATTGATGATGGTAAAGTGATTGATGTTAAAGATGTACATCCACAAAAACAATTGATAGGTATTACACTAATTGATGTTGGTATTTCAATGTTCCTTAATGATTTACATCCATTAAAACAATTAATTGGTAATGTGCTAATAGATGTTGGTATTTCAATACTTCTTAATGATGAACATCCACTAAAACAATTATTTCCAAGTTCTTTAATTGAAGTAGGTATATTAATTTTCTTTAGGTTGTAACAATTCTTAAAACATTCATTTCCTATTGATGTAATTGATGTTGGGAATTTAATATACACAAGTGATGTACATTCACGAAAACATTCATACTTTATTTTATTAATTGATGATGGTATATTAATTGTTACTAACGATGAACATCCTTTAAAACTTCCATTTCCTATTTCAGTAACTGTTGTTGGTATATTAATTGATGTTAGTCTTGTACATTCTTTAAAACAATTCTCTCCTATCCACTCAATAGTTGTTGGTATATCAATCTCAACAAGATCATTACTTCCTTCAAAACATTCATCATCAATTCCATTATATTTTTCTAGTTGTGATAAACAATTTTGTTTTCTCTCTTTACTTGTAAATATCGTACTCATTGATATTTTGTAGTTACATTTATTATCTTAAAACGTTAATGAATGACAGATTGAACCCTTCTTTATTCTTCTAATGATGTTTATTATTTTTTATCATTCCATTTTCATATAAACAATCAAAATAACATAAATATTGAGAATGTTATTTATATTTGTGTTATATTATAATAGGAATTTTATTATTTTGTGAAATTTAACATTTCTTTTAATATATTCCTTTTGTTGTTGTTCATCAATTTCAATTTTAATACTATCAGTTATAATAAGTGAAGTAAAATGGAGATTGAAGTAGGATGAAATCGAGAAATAAATAAAATTAATAGAATATTTTCTTTTTTATATTTAGTTTGTTTTGTTCTTAGTAATGAACATTTGAATATTTCAATTTCATTTTAATAAATCAAATGGTTGTTTAGTTTTATCAATTCTCAATTTATGTTTTTATTCATTAAACATAAAATTCATCTTCTAAAGAACCAATGAATAAATGAAATTGAATTATGTTTTGTCATTAATATTGATTCATTAAATATGAAATATAATGACAATATTAATAAATGGATTAATTACCATTTATAATATCTTCTTGATTTATAAATTTAATTTTAAAATCAGATGATAAACAACCAATGATATTTATAAAGAAACTGATACTAATTATAATGTTTTCTCATTTTCAATTGTACTCATCTAAATTTATGGTAATGATGATAAAACAGAATTTAATGAAAATGAAAACAAATCTATAAAACGATATTTACTTATTGAATTAGTACATAATAAGTGATTTTAGAAATAACATCAAAAGATGATGAATATATGTTATCTATTATTGTATCACACATACCAATTTTGTTCAATAATTTAAATTAATGTTATTTAATCAACTGAAAATTAAAACATAATGAATAATATTAATTTAATTAATGAAATATAATCTCATCAATAATTTCAAAATATAAATCATTGTGATTATGAAATAGATCAAATACATTTGAATATCATTGAAATAATGATGTATAATTTAATTGATACAATCACCAAATCATATTACATTTCATTTTAATCAATCACCAACAAGAAGAAAAGAAAACGAATCAATAACTACCATTGAATAATATCATGAAAAGAATAGATTTAAATCTTATTCATGTATTAATTCAATCATCATTTAAACAATATTTTGATATTGTCATAACGATAATTAGAAAGTTATGAAAGTATTTGCTGAATTAGAATCTGTAACAAGCATAATTAATGAAGATAAATGAAGTATCAATGTCTCATATTTTTATCAATTAAAACAACATAAACAAAAAGTGATTTAATTTACATTCATGAAATAGATTAAATGAAATTGTAAATTATTAATAAATAATTTATAGTACATAACATCAAATAGAAATACAAATAAATACAATAATAAGAAATAAAGAATAAATAAATATAATCATTTCTTTTTTTTAATAAAAAATAAAGTAAAATAATACAATAAAACAGTATAAAAAGTAGTGTTAAAAATATAAATTTACTTCATTTATAATAATGAATCTATATAACATCTTTAATATTTATGACTATCATATTTCTAGTGATCAGGTTTTAGTTAGATAGTTGTAATAATACATCTTTATTAAATAGTTTTATTAAATACAAAAAAATGAATAAATGGATGTCAAAAAAAGAAAAATAGAATTGTAATCTTAAAAATTAACTTGAAATAAAATAAAAATGGAAAATACAACAAGAATAACAAATCAAGAATGAAATTAGGATATAATGAAATAATGATAACATCAATGTATTTTAATGATATCAAAGATTTTTATTAATTTAGAAATAGGAATTAAAAGATTTCAAGGAAATATTGAACGATTTCATTTTAATCCAATTCAATTTAAATCATTATTCAAGAATGTTATTTGTTATATTAAAATATTTCATATTTATAATAAATATAATGAAATATTTAATGATGGAAAAATATTTAAATATGTAATATGGCATACAGTAGATTATTCAACTTATTTAAAACAAAGGAAGAATGGGAGAGATATAAAATATTAAATACATATTAGAAGATTGAGATCAATATTTAATTAAAATACTAAAAGAAGTTAAGTCACTGTATGACTATTGTTTTATAACTGTTATTTATTAACATCTATTAATATACCATCATCAATTACATTATTTGTCTAATGTTGTTTCTATAAATGTGGAAGTCAATAAAAGTTAAAGAAGAATAAAGCAATACTAAGATAGTGTTTTAAATACATAGTGATACAAAATGCAAACAATAAGTAATTGAGTTAATTATTAATTATTTGAATAAAAGAATTGTAAAATACTTCTGAATATAACAATATTATAAAAACTATATTGAATGATAATGTAAAACTTAAAGTTCATTTTATATTAAAGTATTTATGATAGTAAATTATTCCAGTGAAATAATGATTCAAATCTACAACTATTTATTAAGAATTTAGAAAATTATTATATTTTGAAATATAACTGATGTTAATGGATTGGTTATTAATATTTTTAATTGAATTTAATAATATACAAAAAGAGTATAGTACTTTATTTCAATTATTCAATAAAATTATTAAAATCTGGTTTTATTGATGTTCGTAAATCATATTTAATTATAGACCAACATTTAATAACACCTTCTGTTTATAAAAAAGAATATAGAAATAATACAAAAGAATGTATTGAACAAATAACAAAAGATATTATTAATATTTTCATAATCATTATTCAACAAAAAATAAAAATGTTAATTTGTTTATTCATTACCATAAACAAAAGAAGATATCAAGAATTAATCAATCTATTATTTTAATAACAAAACTCATATTAATCTAGTATTGAAATAATAATGACTCAATCATTAAATTGTTAAATGAATTAAATGGTAATGATTCTAATTGTATTCATAATAAATTATATTCAAAATTTACAAGTAATTACAGTAATATTGAAATAAATTATAGAGTTACTATACAGTGAAATAAATAAAATGATTTAACATTAATCCAAATAAAATATGATATATTCAAATAATTCTGATGTTAAACATTATTCATTTCATAAAATATATTTTATATATTGTTTATAAAAGTTAATTAGTATTTAGATAAACATTAAATCATTCAACAAAACAATAAAATAAATATTATTTCAATATAAAATAATGAAAGAGATTCAATATAAATGATAATGATTATCAGTACATTATTTTATCATATTTAATTTATTAAATATAATCATAATTTAATATTTCTTTATAATGAAACAAACATAATTTTTAATATTTTAAGAAATAAATAACAAAGCAACACAATTTATGATTGAAATAATGAAATTATAAATAAAAAACATATTAACATTACTATGTGATATAATTATAATATTAGATAAATATAATTCATTAAAACATTATTTTAAAATAGAACATCTTATAGAACTAAGTATTTATTGTTATAAATGATACATAATAAGAATCACTTTATAACAACAATAATTCATTTTTATCACAATTAATATTAATTGTTATTAATCATTAGATAGAACTATCTTATTTAACATTGAATATTCATTGAAATATAAAATAATATAACACAATGATAAATATATGATTATTTGTTGTTTATGTAAATAATGAAAGATATTGAAAATTATAATAAATTTCACAAAAAATATAAATAATATGTCAACCCTTAATAACCCTTATTTTCCATTTATATTATACATTTTAAAGAAATTCTTATAATTAAAATAAAATTTTAAATTTATAAAATAAATTTAACATACTCTAAATTATTATTGTATGGATGTCCCATCTTAATTCAACATCTATTGTACATACATTCAATTAAATGACATACTGTATTATTAATATTAAAATATTTTAATGAATATACTATCCATTGATGATTCACATAATCATATGTATTCTTTATATCATAGAATATCTTATTGAATCTTTTCTTTTTTAGATTCCATTTCTTGCCTTCTCAGATAATTTTTAATGATGCATTCTTTTGCTGATAAGCACCTTTCTTTATACAATATTTGATTTTTATCTATTTTGTATCAATATCATTTATTTGTAATTGGTGTGTGATTTTACTTTTAATGAATGATGTGAATACTTTCATTGTTATATTAAAACAACATATTTGTTTATAGTTTTCTGGTGATTTGGAATTACTATAATTGTAAATTAATGTTATTTTTTCAACTACCATCTGCATGGTAATATTTTGTCAGTAATCTAACAATGATTAGAATAATTCTAGTAGTTTATCTCTGTACCCAGTTAGATACTTCAAATAATATCATTGTATTCAATCAATACCAGATGCTTTCCATGCATTCTTTTTAGTGAATATTCTATTTCATCTATTGATATTTTAATTCTCTTGTTGTTACTCTTCATTCCTCATTCTTCTATGATTCTTCTATATATTTATTATTATTATTATCTATTTCTTTCTTATCATCTTCTATTTATATTTATTGTTTGTTTCTTCTTTCATCTTAATTTCTCTTTCACTATGTTTCTATTTTTAACTTCATTATTTCTTGTTTTACTTTCAAATTTTCTTTTGTTTTTCAATCATCATCTTTTCATAAAATTATCTTTTATATTTATATCTTCTTTATTTATCTTGTTTATTCTTATAATATATTGATTAAACATTCTACTTAAATTATTGTATTTATGTTTATACTAATTATGTTTATCTGATAATGTGTTATTTATAAATTGATAATGATTATTATTTCATTGATAAGTGATTATAATAATTATATCTTTGATTATATCTTTTAAATCTATTTCTTGTTATAAAATTGTTTTTATATGATTTCATTGTATTATTATGTTTTATAAAAGAAGAAAGGAAAGAATAAGAATAATAATAAAATAAGAAGTAAGAATAAGAAGAAAATGAAGAAATATAAAATATTAATTTCTTATTTAATCC